TGTATGTGTGTGTATTTATATATACATAATAAATATACACAGAACACACACATATATTATTCAAACAAAAACGTTTATTTTGGATGCGATTAATCGCGATTAATCGTTTGACAGCACTACTTTCAGCAAGATTTGATAATTACACTTTCAGTATCCCAGATCACATTGCAGAGCTCCAGAGGCCTCATGTATAAATCTTTACGTAGATTTCATCCTAAAAGTTTGCGAACACACAAAAGCCTACGCCAGAACCTGCCCTTTGTAATACCCAGTCAGAGGAAGATTGTGCGTACATGAATCTCCACCCTGTCTCCTCCCCAAAATAACCATATATGGAGCTTAGAACTTCTAGTTTTACGATGCATAACGTCATCTGCATATCATTTCCATGCATATTCCATACATGTGACACCAAATAGTAAAATAAAATACCACATAGTATTTTAAATTGTTTTAAACAAATCAAATTTATGCATTTTTGCCTATAAGGTAAACATATTTTTAGGATGTTTATATAGATTTTAATGGAAAGAGATGGACCTTTTTTATTTATTTATTTAAAAAATGTTTTTGCATTTTTGCATGTAAATAACTGTCTGACTCAGCGTGTCAATAACAAAATATTTCGAAAATAAAATGTGCATATCTTACAGTTTCCTTCAAATTATGTCTTTTAAATAGAGTGTGTCACTATATTGGAAAGAGGTTATCATTAGGCTACACTCTTAAAAATAAAGGTGCTTCACAATGCCAGCATAGAAGAACCTTTTTGTCTATAAATGGTTCCATAAAGAACCTTTAACATCTGAAGAAACTTTCTGTTTCACAAAAGGTTCTTTGTGGCAAAAGAAGGTTCTTCAGATTATAAAAAGGTAAGAAAAAGATGGTTCTTTAAAGAACCTTTGACTGAATGGTTCGTTGTGGAACCAAAAATGGATCCTCTATGGCATCGCTGAGAAGAACCTTTTGAAGCACCTTTATTTTTAAGAGTGTACTGTTTGTCTGTGCGTGAAATCTATTTCCTGTCCCCTGTTGAGAGAAATTGGGAGCGAGTGCAGAGGCATTTTCTTCAGCCTAAACTTATTAATTTCACTCTTGGTGTAAAAGGGCCTTTACAGTCACCAAAAATATAACTTTTGGGTTTTCTGTTGGGTTTCCCAGCCCAGGTGACAAAAAGTAACGCAAAAATAACGTAATGCATTACTTTCCATAAAAACTAAGTAACGCAGTTATTTTTATTATTATTTTTTTTTTAATGGAGTAATGCAATATTGTAATGCTTTATATTTAAAAGTAACTTTCCCCAACACTGTGTCTGTCATTACGTCTATGTTCCAAAGCCATCAGACGAAGTCAAGTTCACATCAATGATCATTATTCGCCAAAAAATATTTTCTCAGAACATGCTATTTAGAATAAATGCACCATGTGCCAAGTAATCCTCGCTGTGGTTAAAACATTAAAACACATCATACCACAGAAAAATTATTCGAAAGCAGCACATCCACTACAAATATTTCTATTTAAGTTAATATAAAAAAAAATGTTGTAACTTCTGGATAATGATTTCATGAAATTTCAGTGCTTGACTCCATTAATGAGAGTGTCATATTTAATCTAAATGTGTATTATCAAATGTAAACAGACTTTAAAATCATTGTTTACTTCATTATTTCGCTAACTCCAGTAAAAGCATGCGTACGCATGGTCTCGAGTGTCCGTATGGTGCGCACATATTTACGCCAAAGTCATTTTTTATAAATCTTGATATGTGCGTGGAAAATTGCGTATGCACATTTCTATGTCCACTTTGTACGTACGCAACGTTTATAAATCAGACCCTATTTAGGTTATGCTGGTTATCAGACATATAAACATAAAAAAAATGATTGGTATTGTTATATATCTGCTATTGTTCTTTTCACCTATTTAGAGAGCATGTACAGGCAGCAGAACTGTCCTCTTCATCAAAGAACCCTGAGAATTACTGTTCAAACAATCTTTAGGAAGTGAGAGTGAGAGGTGAAAGGAATGATGGAGAATATAAGAGAAAGAGGGAATAAGAGGAGGTTGGGAACCCTTCCATAGTTGGAGTTGGATGTTGGATTGAATGCAACAATTCCAGGTGGGTTGCTGCCTGTGTAAGACTTGATCCAGTCCTGGTACCGAGAAACTCTGACAAACACACTGGGATATTTGGGATGATCACATTTTTTTTCCAGTAAAACTCGAAATGCCGGACTGAATCCACAGGGAGCCATTCCTACTGAGCATTGGACCTCCAGAGTCTCCCTGTATTGACAAATAGTCAGCATTGATATCTCTGACAGTATATAGCAAGCAACTGTTATAGACATACTGTAAATATGCAATAGTGTAGCCCAATGGTAAAATATGCCGGCCATGTCTCCACTAAAGCATTTTGTTTTTCAATTACTTCTAGTTGGAGTGCTGAGCATTTTTCTCATCACCTAGGGTGTATCTCAATACTCAAACTGGTGCTTCCTCGTATCCTTGCTCCTTTGTCCTCCAGCTCATGACCCGGATCTCAGTTCTCTAATTGCATCATACACCAGGAGGTGAGGTACGAGGAGCGAGGAAGCTTCCAGAGGAGCTATAAGAAAAAAATGCACAGGTGTATCCTATGCAGAAGTCGATCAAGGATACACCTTTTATAGTCTCTAAAAAGCTGCTGTCTTATTTACATTGTGTGTACATTATCTTTGTTATAATTCGCAAGCTCAGCTCCGTATTCAACAAAAACTTGTTGCATCCAAGAAATCAACAGTTATGTCTGTGATATAGGCTACATTGCTCAACACTGCAAGAGCTTGTTGAAATTAGAAACCTTTTGGAGCGTAGCGATAGTTCTGGCAGGCCATGTTAGTCAAGTTCGCATCAGCTGACACTCAGCTGATCCACATCTACCTATAGGATCACGACACCAATCATAATTCCCTTCATAAGGTCCCTTCAGTCATTATTCAGCAGCTATCGCTTCGCTCAGGAACTAATCACCCACCTCCATCCCCAGCTCCTCCTCTCGTCCAGTCAGGACTTGGCAGTGAATATATCATTGAGTCAGACCACTGAATCATGTTGTTAAAATAATCACGTAGAACATTAATGGTATCTGCTACATTTATCATTGATGTTGGTTCTGTTCTGTTACCCTAAGGGGGGTATTCTGCTCTCCCTGCTCCTATCCATGCTAGGCTGCGTGGATGGGCAGGGAGTGTTTGCCCAGAACAGAACCATTCCCCCAACCTAAAATGTATGCTAATCGTAAGTTATATTGACGATAGTGGTCCTAACAGAAATATGCACTGGAGTGTTTTTCCACCAATATGCTATTATTAAAGCTTCAACTGAAGATGCTCTTGCTTTCATTTGAGGTCTTAATTTTAATTCACCGATGTGTAGTGTTTTGTAAATTGCTTTGCATCAAAAAGGGTTAAAATGAGTGACTGGTATCTTACCGGACAAATACTTTTCCCTCCCTGATTTAACAATCCAGCACAAATCATATTCCTTGTGAAGAACCATCCATAAGCGTTTTTACAGTCACTGTTGCTCACAACTGGTATCATCACCTCCTGCAGAATTTTAGGAAACTGGCCTGTGACACAGATGAGAGGGCAAAGTTTACGGCTTTTAAAAACTATTTCTAGGTGAATTGTTGAGGTTTACAGCGAATGTTCACTCATCTCCAGGTTGTAGCCTGCCCCATCCAGTGACCCAGCTCTCTGTACCTGCAGCAAATGTACTATTAGCAGTAGACAGACAGACCGGCCTAATGTAATCAGAGAAATTCACAGAGGAGAGCTGGATCAGTGCTATATCATTGTCAAGACTATAATCATCATAATTAGGATGGGTGATGATTCGTCCCGCTGTCCTGGATGTCTCATAAGGGTTTGAGCCGGATTGGCGCAGATGCCCGAAGTACATCACAATGTTAGACACACCGAATCTGACAATAGAGAAATCACACTAGTATCAATAAGCTCAGTGGTGGACGAAGTACAAAAAAACAAGTACTTGAGTAAAAGTACAGAAACCCTAATAAAATATTACTCCAGTAAAAAGTACTAAATACTCCTTTTGATTTTTTTCTCGAGAGTACAAAAGTATTTGATTTTCAATGAAGTTTAGTATTAAAATGAAAAAGTACTGATCAATGAATGATTATTTTGTAACATTAGCATATATAACAATTTTGTATTATATACTTTATATAACCCTACTACTCAAAATGCCTGGGGGAGGGGGACTTGTCATAGACAATAAAAATATTCAATATATTAAAATATCAATATCAATCATTATATACAAAAGAGAGAACAAATGTAATTCTATTTTGTATTTTTTTAATATTATTTTTTATTTAATATTTGTAATACTAATTATACATTTCATAGTGTTTTTATGCATTTTACAATTATTCCAAAATAATAACTAAAGGCAGTAACAGTTTGAACAATATTTTGGAAACACTTTGCAATGCTTCATTAGTTAACATTAGTTAGTAAACATGAACAAAGAATGAACATTACTTCTACAGCATACTAGTCTTAGTAATATTAATTTGAACATTTACTAATGCATTATTAAAATCAAAAGTTGTTTGTTAATATTAGTATTTGCTAATATTATAACTGTTTTTTATTAACTAACTTTTAAAAGGATTCATAAATACTGTAATAAATGTTCATTGTTTGTTTATGTTAGTTAACACATTAATTAATCTTAACACTATATATATATATATATATATATATATATATATATATATATATTATTTGTGAACTTATGTTCAGCTGTTCTTTTTAATAGTCAACTTATTTTTGGGTCATCGTCATAAAAGCTCTGTCACAGAAACGAAGATATATATTTCATTTCATCAAGCTGAATGCTCACTAAAAACTGGCACAGTCATCATGTTTTCAGGCCATTTCAAGTTTTATTATGACATGACATTAACAATTTGGCATTAATACATTTTTTTTTTGCGCCATCAGTCGCACATGCACTCACATGATCTCCGTTCTTGGCTAATTTTGAGTCGGTCAGACTTCTGAATTCTCTGAATTGTTAACTAGAAACTGGATCATTTGAATCAGTGAGTTGTTGACTCGAGAATAGCTGCAATTCATTCAGTCCAGTATGTGAATGATACGTTCAGTTAATTGAAAAAAATCTGCTCATTCACGAATCGGATTCCGCTATCGCGTCTCGCATTAAGAAGGAACGACTAAAGTGTACTGGAGTACTGAAATGTACTGGAGGAAAAGTACGGTATTATGCTTTGGAATGTAAGTAAAAGTTCCTCAAAACAAATGCTCTGACAAAGCACAGATACTTGAAAAATGTACATAAGTACAGCGATGAAGTGAAAAAAAAAATACTGTCCACCACTACGTAAGCTTTATTTAAAGGGGTCATATGATGCAATTTCATTTTTTCCTTTCTCTTTGAAGGCGGGGCATAATGGAGAAACAATAATGTACAGTATGTGGAAAATAATGTGTTTTTTTTTACTTTAAACTGCATAAACACATTTCATTACACCAAATCCACAAAATAATGTTCTTTTTAGCAGCATCATATGACCCCTTTAAGCCTTAAACTTCATACCTCTGGAAGCAGTGAGCTGCAGATAAAACCCAGTCTTTAGTGATGAGAGTCCCGCCACAGTGATGGCCAAAGCCGACGACATGAATGCTGACCTGCCACAGCCAAGCCGCTGCTTTTGCCCTCCCCCCTCCAACAATCTTATTGTTGAGGGGGGCTCGACCACATACTGATGAGAGAAGGAATATATGAATTATCTTTTTAAAATGCTTCATACATAGAAGACAGTCTGTGTTTTATGGTCATTATGACAACTTACCATCTAACTGGCAGAGGGAACCTGTGTGCATAGACAAAGACAAAGACGAAGTAAGCAGACAATCATCGAGACAGAGCTGAAAAACTGGATTGTGTTCCTCACAATCACTCATTTGCTTTTTACATCATGACATGAATAACCTAAATCCAGTTAGTCACCGGTCACATGCAGTGTGTATGTGAACTAGCTGCAGGCTTACATTGTGCTTTCACGCTGACTTTGACCTAAAGCCTCATCTACTAAATTATGCATTTGTAAATAAATTCATACAAATTCAGATTTTGTTTTATCTACCAAACCAAATTCAGTCATAAGTCTTCAGATGCAAAGGTTTTTACAATCATGAGAAACATAAATTGCTAAGTGTGTTTACAAAGGTTCTTATAGGAATTAAATGGCTTGTGAGTTATTAATAAACAACTTAAGCAAACATTATTAAATGTGCATCTAATTTTGTCATGTTATAGACATTTTGAACAATCTTACTTGCTATGTAGAGAAGTATGACTCCAGCAAAACTCAAAGCGATGTTGAACTTCATCCTTCTGTTCTGCTCTGTGATCTGACTGCTGTTTCTCGACTGTCGGGTTTCTGATGAGATGGAAAGCACCCCACCACTACGTTCATCTCTGACTCACATTTAAAAAAAAAAAAAAAAAGGTGTCTCATAGGTGTCTTTTGCAGATGTGGGTGGGACATATCATCAATTTTTTTTTTATTTTTTTTTTTACCAAAGTTGATTTTGTCTCCACCAAATTTTGAAAGCCTTTAGGGTTGAAAAATAGGTTGCAGAAAGCATGTACAACACAGGGGAAAAAAAACATCCCAATTCATCATTCTTCATTTAATTCATATGTGTATCATGAAATAAATACATACACAAATACACAAAGCCAAAAAGAACGCACGTCACACCTCTGTTTATCAATTTGCACTGGCTACCAATATCTGCTCGCATAAAATTCAAGGCATTAATGTTTGCCTACAAAACCACCACTGGCTCTGCACCCCTTTACCTAAATTCATTACTTCAGAGTTATGTGCCCTCTAGAAGCTTGCGTTCTGCAAGTAAAAGGCACATTATTGTGCCATCTCAAAGAGGCACAAAATCACTTTCTCTGACTTTTACATTAAATGTTCCCTCCTGGTGGAATGACCTGCCCAAATCAATCTGAGCAGCTGAGTCCTTAACCATCTTCAAGAAACGACTAAAAACACATCTGTATATATATATATATATATATATATATATATATAAACTTGTAATACTAGCTTTTCTAATCTTTTTGTATTCTTTCTATTCTGTTTTCTTTTTATTTATTATGTAATTAAAAAAAAAAAACCTCGCTACATGCACTGCGTTAAGCTAACTGAGACTTGTTATAGCACTTGTATATCATTGCTCTTTTGTTGATTTTGATTGCTTCCATTGTCCTCATTTGTAAGTCACTTTGGATAAAAGTGTCTGCATAATGACTAAATGCAAATGTAAATACATTCTTTTACAGGTGTGATCGAAGTGATGAAGTTCCTACCAAATCTAGCATTCACATTCACAGACAATTTTATACATTTAATCCACTGTCCATCGCCATATATAGTGCCAGTAGAAGGTAATGGATTGTGGATTAAATATTTAAAAATATGTGTGAACGTGTAATGCAATTATGTAATGCAAACAATGAGCAAATTTCCATAACCACTGAACTTTCTAAAAAGAAAATCTTTATTTTAAAGAACCAAGACCAGATGCTCTGCATTGCCCTGTTTATGAGTTGGTGCTTTATCTAATCAGAGAATGGACTTGCATGTACTTTCATAATTCTAACCTACTTACATAGGTACCTCTATATCGCCACAATGTGAGAAAGACATTATGTACAGTCAACACTATTCATACTCAAAATACCAGAACAGTCAATCAAAAAGTTGGAAGGAAGCAGTTGTAGTTCCTATTACACTCTTAAAAATAAAGGTGCTTCAAAAGGTTCTTCAAGCGATGCCATGGAAGAACCCTTTTTGGTTCCACAAAGAACCATTTAGTCAAAGGTTCTTTAAAGAACCATCTCTTTCTTACCTTTTTATAATCTGAAGAACCTTCTTTCGCCACAAAGAACCTTTTGTGAAACAGAAAGGTTCTTCAGATGTTAAAGGTTCTTTATGGAACCATTTAGACAAAAAGGTTCTTCTATGGCATCGTGAAGCACCTTTATTTTTAAGAGTAGGAAACCAGGGAAAGATCCTGCAAAACCTAATAGCTATAGACCAATTGCGTTGACATCCCATATAGGTAAAATTATGGAACGTATGGTAACAGACAGACTGGTCTATTTTTTTGGAGAAGTGGGAATTAATTGATTCTTATCAAAGTGGATTCAGGAATGGAAGAGGGACAATGGATCCAGTACTATGCCTGGAAGATGAAATAAGGAAATCCCAGGTTAATCAGGAATCAGTGGCAGCAGTCTTCCTTGACGTTGAGAAAGCGTATGATATGATGTGCAAAGAGGGGTTGTTGATTAAGTTACATCTTTTGGGAATAGGAGGGAGGGCCTTTAACTGGGTAAAGGATTTCCTGTATGGACGCTCTATTCGGGTGAGAATTGGGAAAGAATTATCTGGTAGTTATATGGTAGAAAATGGAACCCCTCAGGGTAGTGTTATCAGTCCACTGCTCTTTATCATCATGATAAATTATGTATTTTCAGATGTAGGGCCTGGGATTGGAAGATCGCTGCCTGTTTGCAGATGACGGGGCCTTGTGGAAGAGGGGAAGAAACATAAAATATACAGTAAGTAAGATCCAGGAAGCAATAGAACAGGTAGAACGATGGTCAATGAGATTAGGTTTTAGATTTTCAAAGGAAAAACTCAAGTGGTTTTCTTTACAAAGAAAAAGATAGGGGAAGAGATTAATCTTAAATTATATGGACATGTTCTGGAGAAAGTAGAGTCCTTTAGGTTTTTGGGAATGGTTTTTGATGCTAGGTTAACATGGGCAGGTCACATAGAGAAAGTTATTGTAAAGTGTAAAACAGTATTAAATGTGATGAGGTGTCTGACAGGAGTGGGCTGGGGGGCGAGCAGGCAATTATTGAGGGAGATATATGTTGCACTGATTAAGTCTGTTATAGATTATGGTTGTATAGCATATAGAGATGCAGCAAGAACTACACTGGCTAAATTGGAAGTAATACAAACCCAAGCACTTAGGATATGTAGTGGGGCTTTTCGGACATCACCTGCAGTGGCGTTGCAAGTAGAGATGGGTGAGATGCCTTTACATTTTTAGGAGGGAACAGTTGGCAGTTAACTATTGGGCAAACCTACAAGGACATGGTAGGTCCCACCCCACTAGAGTAGTAATGCAGGTATGCTGGGAGCATGAAAGGGTTAAAAGTCAGAGTTTTGGATGGGTATGTGGTGCTATTGGAAAAGACTTGGGTTTGGAGGGTATGGAATTTAGTCCCAACAGTTCCATGGCCAGTCAGACCACCTTGGTTGTTTGTGGAACCTATAGTGGACCTGCAGATATTAAATAGTCACTTAAAGAGTAGAGGGGAGGTGGATTTATGTGAAGTGTTTTGTAATAATCTGAATGAGGAGTTTAATGGGCATCTGGATATTTAAAAAGGTAGATGGGTCTAAACCCATACACAGATGGGTCTAAAGATCCTCAATCTGGGCAAACGGGGGCTACATTCGGGGAGGCATTTATTTAAGATCCAGGAGCGTGTTGCTAAAGAGAGAGTAAGTTATGGAAATAGAAGGAAGGAGGTTATCTTATCTAGATTGAGAATAGGACATGTAGCATTAAATAACAGTTTGCACATAATAGGGAAACATGAAACAGGCAATTGTGATAAATGTGGATTACCAGAAACAGTTGAGCATGTTCTTTTAATATGTATAGCGTATGAAAGGGAAAGACATCAGATGTTCCAAGAACTGGAACTGATGGGAATTAATAGTATATCTCTAAAGACACTATTAGGTTATGGGGTAATGCAATCAAGAATATATGGAGAATTGTTTAAGTATTTAAAAAAGACAAGATTAATGGAAAGAGTTTGAAGTTAGAGTTATATTAATATTATTATTATTATTATTATTTTCTTTTATCTATAATAGTTGAATAATTCATAGCTCAACCGTGTACGTTTCACACTCCAGATCAGTAGGTGGCGGACATGCACCTTTAACGTTGGTTTGCCAATCCTCCAAAAAAAACTCGAGAGAAGAAGAAGAAGAAAAAGATAGACGCTCTATTCGGGTGAGAATTGGGAAAGAATTATCTGGTAGTTATATGGTAGAAAATGGAACACCTCAGGGTAGTGTTATCAGTCCACTGCTCTTTATCATCATGATAAATGATGTATTTTCAGATTTAGGGCCTGGGATTGGAAGATCGCTGCCTGTTTGCAGATGACGGGGCCTTGTGGAAGAGGGGAAGAAACATAAAATATACAGTAAGTAAGATCCAGGAAGCAATAGAACAGGTAGAACGATGGTCAATGAGATTAGGTTTTAGATTTTCAAAGGAAAAACTCAAGTGGTTTTCTTTACAAAGAAAAAGATAGGGGAAGAGATTAATCTTAAATTATATGGACATGTTCTGGAGAAAGTAGAGTCCTTTAGGTTTTTGGGAATGGTTTTTGATGCTAGGTTAACATGGGCAGGTCACACAGAGAAAGTTTTAGTAAAGCGTAAAAAAGTATTAAATGTGATGAGGTGTCTGACAGGAGTGGACTGGGGGGTGAGCAGGAAATCATTGAGGGATATATATGTTTCTATGTTGCACTGATTAAGTCTGTTATAGATTATGGTTGTATAGCATATAGAGATGCAGCAAGAACTACACTGGCTAAATTGGAAGTAATACAAACCCAAGCACTTAGGATATGCAGTGGGGCTTTTCGGACATCACCTGCAGTGGCGTTGCAAGTAGAGATGGGTGAGATGCCTTTACATTTAAGGAGGGAAGAGTTGGCAGCTAACTATTGGGCAAACCTACAAGGACATGGTAGGTCCCACCCCACTCGAGTAGTAATGCAGTAGTAATTCATGCTGGGAGCATGAAAGGGTTAAAAATCAGAGTTTTGGATGGGTATGTGGTGCTATTGGAAAAGACTTGGGTTCGGAGGGTATGGAATTTAGTCCGACAGTTCCGTTGCCAGTCAGACCACCTTGGTTGTTTGTGGAACCTATAGTGGCCATGCAGATATTAAATAGTTACTTAAAGAGTAGAGTGGAGGTGGAGTTATGTGAAGTGTTTTATAATTATCTGAATGAGGAGTTTAATGGGTATCTGGATATTTACACAGATGGGTCTAAAGATCCTCAATCTGGGCAAACAGGGGCTGCATTCGGAATACTAAAAATGGGAATTAAGGTACAGAAGAGACTGTCTGATCAAGTATCTGTATTTACAGTGGAATTGATGGGTATCTGGTTGGCTCTACAGTGGGTAGAAGAAACAAGACCAGATAAAGCAAAAGGTAATTTGCTCAGACTCTAGTGCAGTCCTAAAGATTTTGCAATAATTTAAGTCACAATCAAGACAAGACATAGTATAGGAGGTACTAGAATGTTACACAAGGATTTCTCAGTTGGGGGTGAAGGTAAAATTTACATGGGTACCAGCACATGTGAGGGTTAAAGGAAATGAAATGGTAGATGATTTGGCAAAACAAGCCAGTAAAAGAGAAGTTGTTGAAATATCAATCTCAATAAGTAAAGCAGAAGCTAAATCAAAAATCTGGATGGAAATTATGAAAAAGTGGCAGAGTAGTTGGGATAGAGAGGAGAAAGGGAGACATTTATACAGAATACAACAGAAGGTTGGGACAGGGAAGATCACTGGAAGGAATCGAAGGGAAGAAATAATTTTCACTAGGTTAAGGATTGGACATTGTGGGTTAAATAAGTGCTTACATGTCTTAGGTAAGCATATATCAGGAAGATGTGAATTTTGTGACAGTATTGAATCTGTTGAACATGTGGTACTTGAATGGCAAAAATATGAGAGAGAAAGGATAAAGATAAAAGAAAACATAAGGAATTTGGGGGTGCAAGGGAATTCACTTAAGGAACTTCTGGGAAAAACTTCAAATTATTTTAGTACTCATTTATTTAGCTTCCTGAAGGACACTGATATAGCAAATAGGATATAGAATACAGTTTTGTAAATCATTATTATTATTAATTAAAGGGGAGGGGGGAGAAGAGAGTTGGAAGTCTCCCTTCTAGCTATAGTCTGTCTAGCTCCGGTTCACACTCCAGTACAGTAGGTGGCGGTAATTCACCATTGAAGTTGAATGCCAACCGCTGTTAAACATCAAGGAAGAGGAAGAAGAAGAATAAACCCACAGTAGATGGCGCTAATGGGAAAATACAAGCTGGCAATAAAGAAGAAGACTCTTCTGAGGTGAAGCGACCAGTTCACGGTATTCCACATACACAACCATCAAACACACTTATACTGTTTGTTTAAGCGACTTTTTACAGGCTCATTTCTATATTGTTTTCATCGGGTTCAGCGCTACTTGTGCGTCTTTTCTGGCGTCTTCCTACTGAAATAAACATTTAGTGCAACAGCAGCGAGCATGTGAGGAAAATAGTTTGAGTTCATTCAGACTCCCTTTGGATCTTCTCTACTCTCTTCTAATTTTTGCCAGATCAAATCTATTAGTTATTTGACATAGTTAAAATATACTGGAACAGATTCTGCTAAATACTTTGAGGCTCATCAATATTAACAGAGCTGCTGAAAGACTCTTATTTCATATTCCTGTTTTCACTGCATTTATTATGCTGATGTCTTCAGGTCTCCTGTAAATTGCCACTTGAAGCTCATTTAATTTATTTCAACAGACTGAGAGTATTTGTTTGTTACAAATATGTACATTAATTCTTGTTTATGCTTTCAAATGTTTTCTTCATATTTTTTTTATATTGTACGGTGGCCGAGAGAGCTCAACGCACTGCAAATAGAAGAAAAACACCTGCAAATTAAGAAAACAACTTCGTACAACACATGCGCTGCAAATGCTTACAACACAACCAAATAAAGAAGAAATAGAAAAAAAACCACCTGCAAATTAAGAGAACAACTTCATAAATTTGACAACACTCGCTGCAAATGCTAACAACGCAAACAAACAAAGAAACTCGCTGCAAATAAAATTCTTTATTTGTTTGTGTTGTGAGCATTTGCAGTGCGTTTCTTTATTTGTTTGCGTTGTCAATCTGATGAAGATGTTTTCTTGATTTGCTGGTGCTTTTTCTATTTGCATGTGTTTTCTGAAGTTGTAACGCATTGAGCTCTCTCGGCCACATAATATTTGCAAGAATTTACATTAAATTGTAATCTGATATGTTTCTTAATATATGACTGTATTTGAATGAAGACGCAGAATAATGTTAGGATTAGCAATACAAATTATTTATGACGAATTAGCATCAGTTACTTTACGATGAATAGACAGACTGACATAAATGTTTAGAAGTGTAATTTATTATGAAAACAAACTCAGTAGCTGATATATTTTTAATTTTGGCGGATTAGCTCTTCCCACAAGAACCCTGCAGAATGAAACGCGCTGAAGAACAAACAGGTTGGTATTTATTCTTTATTCCTCATTCATTCATTCATGATGCTGAAGAACAGTCATGATTCATAGAGCCATAAATCATAAGATGTTCCTGAAATCCCTTTCATGGCATCCAACAATCTCTGCAGCTGAATAAAATACAGATAGAGAAACATAAAGACAATAAACGCATGATTGCGACAATATATGGTTTATCTGTGTTCTTCAATCCATGTCAGGTATTTTTATAACAATAGAGTATATTTATAATGCAACAAAAATCAACATAGTCTTTATCACTTTGCAGAATACTTAAGCAGGCTAACTGTTTTATTTTACGTGTATTTTATATCTGGTTTAAAATTTGCAACAGTGTTACCAGAATTTTAGACATTTTCAAAATAGTTTACAACATTGTTATTTTTTTAGGAATAAACAGTAAACACCAACATGTATGATGTAAATGAACTTTCCAGAATGGCTGACAGGGCTGTAAGCATAACTTACAAATCTGTAACAGTACACAAGCATAATGGTTAAATAAATATAAAACTATTTTTTATTAAACAGGCATCTGTTAAATAGTGTCTTTGCATTTAAATAAATTCAATTATAATTACAAAAAAAATCGGAGTTATTGCTGTAATATGGAGCCCTTTTTTGCACATTACTATAATATTAAAGGTTACCATTAACAACCGAGACAAACTATTAAATTCAGTTACTATTTATTTTTATATATAATAATCAACACTCAAATAAAAAAGATGTTAATTGCACACAAGGCTGGTTTTGCATCAACTTCTAAATCTAATTATCAAACTATTTTTCTATTTCAATTCATTTTTGAAATATAATTTACAAAGTGGCTGTCATAACTTCTTTACATGATGAATTTACATATATTAAGTAATTAAGTCATCCCAAATAGGGCTGTGTATCGTCAGCAAAGTCACGATACGATATATATCACGATACTGAGGCCACAATATGATTGCTCTAAATTTCACCTCAGCAGAATTTAGTAAAACAGCTGTTTATTAAACACTGCATACTACAGCGCCATTGCTAACTATAGGCAGAACAGACAGTTGCCTGCTGCATTAGGGCTGGGTTTTGACACAAATTTCACGATTTGATTTGATTAAATTTGATTCTGATTTGCAAGCTTTTGATTCGATTCAGTTTTACGATTTAATTCGATTCAGTATTGATTATTTTGGATATATGGTACAGTACATGCCAAATTTTCTGAAGGACAAAAAATTCTCTCAACTAATGCTGTAAAATATACACGAGTCAGTTGGTACCACATTACTATACTGAAGGTTAAAATTAACTGATTTGAATACAAGCATTTCAATTACACTCAATTAAGATTTTATAATAATAAAATTACAATTACATAATTATATCTCTACTCTAATTCATTTCTAATTTTTTTTTTTTTTAATGGTGGCTGTCAAAAAAACATGATGGATTTATTCAAACATAAATTAAAGATTGAACAGCAGCAAAAAATGAAATGAAAATGCTGAATGCACTTGGCCGAAAACCGAAACAGCTTTTTTAATAATTATTTATTACTTTATTACATAAAATAATTCTGAAAGACCTAATTTAACTTAAATAATTTTAATGATACTGAATAAAAAAAAAATACAAGCCAATAAAATAACCACATTTTTATTGAAAGTAACACACAGTGACGACGGCTAGAGGAAGAGCGAAACCTGTGCGCTAAATTATTTTCGGCCATTTTTCTCTCTCAGCTGAAAACTGAAAATGCCATTAAAATTATTGGCTGAAATTTCAGGGCATCCCTAGTTCTTTCTCACAGCAAAATTCGCTTTACTTTGTGTTTCTTGTGTTTCACATGCGTATACATGTAAGTGAGAAAAGTTTACTGTGACTGAACCTTAATAATTAAAATGTTTTTAGTAAAATAAATTGAATGTCGATCTAAAAGTTGATGACAAAATATGACCGTAATATATATTTTAATGTTAATATCACATTAGATAATTGTGAAGTGAAGTGACATGTGGCCAAGTATGGTGACCCATACTCGGAATTAGTGCTCTGCATTTATCCCATCCTAAGTGCACACACACAGCAGTGAACACACACACACCATGAACACACACCCGGAGCAGTGGGCAGCCATTTATGCTGCGGCGCAGTTGGGGGTTCGGTGCCTTGCTCAAGGGCACCTCAGTCGTGGTATTGAAGGTGGGAGAGAGCACTGTACATTCACTCCCCCCACCTACAATCCCTGCCGGTGCGAGACTCAAACCCACAACCTTTGGGTTATGAGTCCGACTCTCTAACCATTAATTGCCTAATTGTGTCTTTGATCAAATATATTTAATAGTTCTCACTACAGAAACATGGGATCTGTCTATAATATTAAAAAAAATACTTGAAGATTAGTGTACATGGAAAGTTGCAGGGACGTATAAAAAGGTATAAAAATGATTGTAATATTTTATAGCAGTTGTCTGCTTTGTTACAGCAGGGCTCACTTTTATGTGTTCCTGTTTTAGAATTATTTTGATGCACTCAAAATGAAATTAACTCTAAACTTTTTCTTTAATTTCAGAGCTGATGGAAGAGAACGAGGAGAGTGAAGAACTGAGTGAAGTGGAGGAGGAACATCATGACAAACCTGGAGAAGAACCTTTAAGTCGCTCAAAGACCAAAAATAAATTTTTAAAGAAAAGAAGAGCCAAGAAATCTACAACCTGCACTCAGTGTGGAAAGAGTTTCAGAAGGAAATATAATCTAGTGATTCACGTGCGGAACCACACTGGAGAGAAACCGTTTACATGCACTCAGTGTGGAAAGAGTTTCTTAACCAAACGTAATCTCAATGTTCACATGAGAATCCACACTGGAGAGAAGCCATTCACATGTGATCAATGCGGGCAGAGCTTCACACAAAAACCAGCCCTTAAAGGACACATGAAGATCCACACTGGAGAAAAGCCGTTCAAATGTGATCAATGTGGGAAACGTTTCACGAGATCAATAAACCTTAAAGTACACATGAATATCCACACCGGAGAGAAGCCGTTCACCTGCACTCAGTGCGGAAAGAGTTTCACAAGGAAATATAATCTAGAGAATCACATGAGGATCCACACCGGAGAGAAGCCGTTCAGATGTGATCAGTGCGGAAAGAGTTTCTCAAATAAACCAAATTTTGATGTTCACCTAAAAGTTCATACCGGAGAAAAGCCGTTTATGTGTGATCATTGTGAAAAGAGATTCTCAAACAAACAAAGTCTTCATGTTCACTTGAGAGTTCATACGGGAGAAAAACCATTCACATGTGATCAGTGCAGGAAGAGCTTCAGTCAAAAACCAGGTCTAATGGAACACATGAAGATCCACACCGGAGAGAAACCGTATGTATGCGAACAATGTGGAAACTATTTCACATCCAAACATAGTCTTGATGCTCACATGAGAGTTCATACTGGAGAGAAGCCGTTCAAGTGTGACCAGTGTGGGAAACGTTTCACGAGATCAAGAAACCTTAAAGAACACATGATGATCCACAATGGAGAAAAGCTGTTCACATGTGATCAGTGTGGAAAGAGTTTCAGACGCAAACACAGTCGTGAGATTCACATGAGAGTTCATACCGGAGAGAAACCGCATGTGTGCCATCAATGTGGGAAGGGTTTCCTCCGATCAGCACACCTTAAATCACACATGAAAATCCACACTGGAGAGAAACAGTTCACATGTGATCACTGTGAAAAGAGATTCTTACACAAACAAAATCTAAAGATTCACATGAGGATCCACACTGGAGAGAAGCCGTTCACATGTGATCAATGTGGCAAAACATTTCTTAGGGCATCAGTCCTGAAGGCACACCTGACAGTTCATACGAAGGAGAAACCGCATTCATGTTCTGTGTGTGGAAAGAGTTTTTCACTGCCGCAAACTTTACATGTACATCAGAAAACACATAGTGGTGTGAGAGAGTACATGTGCTTTGAGTGTGAAAAGACTTTTACTTCAGCAAACAGTTTAAAACAGCACCAGATTATTCACACTGGAGAAAAACCTTACAAGTGTTCACACTGTGACAAGAGATTTAGTCGGTCTTCAAATCTGAAAACACATGAGAGGATCCACAGCAGAGAGAAACCTTATAAGTGTTCACACTGTGACAAGAGATTCAGACAGTCAGGATATCTGAAAACACACGAGATGTTCCACACTGGAGAGAAGCCGCACACGTGTGATCAGTGCGGAAAGAGTTTCGCTATTAAAAGTTACCTGAAGATACACGAGAAGATCCATGCAGTGGAGAAACCAGATCACCGCAGTCTGAAATCACGGTAAGTAGTTCATCTTTGTCAACAAAGTCTGAAATCTTGAAGTTAGTTTGGTTTGTGTGCTTTTCCAGCAGCAGCTCATCATGTGACCTCCTTTATTTTACATTTTGTTCATAGAAATGTCATTCACTGCTGTAAATTGACACAATTGGTAGATGTTTTCACACAGTGGCTCTCATTTATAAAACAAGCGTACAATCGTTTCCATGTGCAAATTGGCATTTATCAATGTGCAAATACTGTCTGTCAACAAATGCTGATGTTTCTGCATAGCTTAGAGGTCAATCAGCTTGTGTTGTGTAGGAAACAATGTGATTGCTTACAAATTACATGTCAAGCCTGTGCCATCTAGAGTTTTATGACCAAACTAGTGATTTATAACACAAATCATCTTCATGACATTAAAATAGATCATAATCGTGCACAGCAGTTGATGGGATTAAAATGACTATTGAACTCATCAGTGATCTTGATTTGGGGGTTTTCATCACTTTTCATTTCACATTTGTCTCTCATTTGAAATCTCACTTGATTTAATGTTTCTTTTAGACCTGATGGACATGAACCAGAAAGAGAAAACAGAAGAAGAAAAAAATTGTGATCTGCACTCAGTGTAAAAAGAGACTGACATGGGTATCAGTCCTGAAAAAACACCTGAGGATTCACATAAAGGAGAAGACTCCTTTGTAATATTACAGCAGAAAAGACATGGCAGTGTGAGTTTAAGTGAAGAAAGTCCTTTATTACAGAAGATGAACTGAAAGAGCACCAGAAAATTCACACTGGAAAAAACCTTTCAAGGCATAGTTCAGGGAGCTGAAGAACAGGCCATAACATGTTTAAGAAATATATTATTTTTTAACTTGTTCTTAATTGTTTTTCATAAGAACATCTACTTTATCTTCCAATTCTACTCTTCCATGCATATGCACAGGGCCGTTTCTAGCCAATTTGACGCCCTAGGCGAAATCCCTATTGCCCCCCCCCATATATATATATATATATATATATATATATATAATTCTTTTCAGACACCAGTTGCTT